ATTTATCCTATGACCCGTTAAACTAGTTAAATTACATTTATTTTAATTTCAACATTACATGTTTGAGTTAAGCCAGAAATGTTGGCTTTATGTAAGCCCAAGGGGGGCCGTCTGTCCAACTAAATGTGATTGAATAAAGGGTCCTTTACACCCTTCTTCTGACTTTGTCTGTTGTTGTCAAGACCTGGTAAAAGTTCCTCATACATTCTACTGAGAGCTCGTTAGTTTATGCTAACAGAAAAAGCGAGATTCTATAGCTTAACCAATTAAAAAATAAATGAGGTCTTTTTAAGACAGAATGCTTTAAATGTCAAATTCGAGTACATAATGTAGAATTTTCATGAAGTAATAATTCTCCAGTTTTTTGTAAGATTTCATACATAAAAGTAATAAATATAGGTAATCAGTACAGTATTGTAAAGTGAGATTCCTATGAAACTTATAATTAGATACAATGTGGAAATTGATTTATTTTGACTAATAGTTAATTTTTAGTTAAAGCGATATCTTTTCACTCTCTTTTTCACCCACGCCTTCCTCCCAGAATGTTAATCAGTTAGAGTGCGTTTATTCAAATTAAGGGAGAAAGAAGTGCTATTTAAGCGAAGGCTTTGGAAGGTGATTTTAAAGCGCGTTATGCCTGCTTGAAGGCTACGTTGTTACTAAATAGAGATTTGATTCTGTGGCGTTGAGTGCTTCTAGCCATCAAGCTTGTTTCCGCCGCCTTCTATAAGTCAGAGCCTTTCTGCCCGGTTAAATTATCCTGGGAGCCGTTAGGCTAGTTTAATTACATATTATCTTAAATTCAACATTACCTGTTTGAATTGAGCCAGAAGTGTTGGCTTATGTAAGCCCAAGTGGGGCCGTCTGTGCAACTACGTGTAATTGAAGTAAGGGTCATTTACATCCTTTTTCTGACTTTGTCTACTGTTTCTGACTTTGTCTAAGACCTGAAGATAATTCCTCTACAATCTTTCTAGAGCTCGTTAATTTATGCTACCAAAGAGACGAGACTCTATAATAAGAATGTTATAAAAAGGAAATATAGATGTATAATTGACCAAAAGCAATATGCATCTAAAATCCAAGCAAACCTATAGTTTCATTTAGAAGTGACATTTCATAGGTTTTTACGAACGAAAATACGCAGTCTTGTTTCAGTATTATTATTTATTTAGAATTTCAATTTATTTAGAATAAAAAGAAACTAAATTCATGACAATTGACTTAATACGACTTTTCTTCGAAAGCTTTAAAACTGTCTCTATTGAAATCAATATTTTCAAATGCTAGTGGTGTATTTTACTGTAATTAATGTTAGTGCTTAATTTTACTATAATTATTGCTATAACTAATTATTTCCTGATTTTACTATAGTTGAGTCTGAACTGTAGAAAAATTCAAATTGGAATACATAATTATGTTATTTTACTATGTTATGCTGTTTTCGGCTTCTTTTTCCATTATGTGATATGATTTAACAAAGATTACTGTGAGTTTACATTTCGTGTCTAGATTTCTTATGAATAATTATTTTAAATATGTATCATTCTTCTTGTTCAGACGTAAAGTAAATGAGATGAAATCAGCTTTCAGATTTTAGAATTACAAAGGATATTGAACTCATTCGGTATAAAAAAATCTTGAGGAAGTTGTCGGAAACCAAAACGGAATAAAAAGTGACAAATTAGTACTATAATAAAAAAACATAAACTGCTATCCAATTCGGATGAAATACTTGATGCATGATTGATTTAACAATCAAATTTGAAACTTTTGACGGCAATCTGTGTCGGTGGTTCCTATTCGATGCCGGCTGCAACATCATTATTAGAAAGTTATTCCGGGTGAGTGCACGTGATCTTATTACCTGCGATTGCATTTTTTGAACTACTGTAGAAGACTTAATACCTTAAACTATGTCACCTGCAATTTCTCGAATATTCTGTAGCCAATTCAGAAGAAGTATTTAAGGGTTTAAAATAGTTTAATATAGTAATAATAAGTAAATATTATCTTTAAAAATTATGATCACTGTTCTTTACCCAAGTACTATCTCTTTGAGAAAGAGATATTTCAAATGAACTATGTTAATGTAATGTTCACAGAATATGTAATATTCAGTAGTAGCAAGAAGAACTATTATAGTATTTCTACTAAAGTTTTGTTACCAACGACCATATTACTTGCTAGCGAAACGTACCAGCAGAAAAAAGAAACAAAATTGCGCTTTTAAAATTTACTTTGAAAACTCCAATAAATGCGAAAAAGATTTAAATAATTTTGGAGAGCTTATGAATACTTGAACATAAGAGCAGCTTTCATATAAAAGGCATGTTGAAATCTTGAAAATTAGAAAATATTCAAATTATACATTCAAAATGACTGAAACTTATTGTTTCGGAAACAGCATTTAAACTTAAACTCTATCCAGGGATGCTTATAGCACGGCTCTCGAGCCGCGTTCGCCGCTCATAGGCGCACACGGTGCGACGCTTATACAGTTGTAATGCAGTTACAATTAAAATGCATGCATGAAGTTTGGTGCAGTAAAACTACTGAATGTTAAAACGAAAATAAGGCAGAATGTCATTAAATGGTTGTTAAGAATCAGACGTATTGTTTCATTTGAAACCTGTTTCACTACTTTTAAAATGATGTAAATATGGATTTGTGGCTTTTGGAAAATCTAGTTGCGACTCTCGAACTTTCTTGAATTGCAACATGCCACAAGTTATACTATCCGGGGGAAAAATCTTTAATGTTTTAAAACATAGCTTACATTAATTAATAATTACTTTTATTCGTTGCATTAATTATATTTTCATACATTAAGTGCTACTACAGATAAAATGAACTATCATCATAATCATTTCGCTGTTGATTTGAATATTGTATTACTATTAAAAGAAAGCAGCTGAAATTAAAGCAGCAAATGTCCCCCCTGTTAACCCGCTGTTACATTCACAAACAAGTCCGATAAAACATTAGAAATTCAGACTCCAGTGTACTATGCAGAAGATTAAGCTTTCACTACTTTTTTAAATGTAGAATACGAAGGTAGTAGCGCTCATCTGTAGGCATAGACACGTTTTATAAGCTTCTCTTTACATTACATATATTCATTCTGGCATATTTTAATACGTACTTGAACTGAAAACTTCTGTGTCATACATTAATTACATCATAACCAATATGTCTCAAAATGTAATAACATAGATAGTGAATATTCATACCTACAAACACAGCGCATCCAGCGTGACACAGATTTTAGGAATACTGCGTTTAAGTGCCATAATTGTTTAGTTATCTTTGTGGACTAAGCAAACCATCAACCAAATAATTCATCATTAAGATCAGCAATCAAATATTTTGTACCGTCTCTCAGCAATCATTCTAATTATTTACTAACTTGCTGATAATTCTGGCAAAACATTCGAAGGTGGTCTCTCTGCTTCAGGAGGAGTATCATTTGTAAAACAAACTCTCTAAAATATCGATTTATATTTATATCACCAAAGATGGAATTAAATATCAAGCGGTCGAAACATCTCAAACAGTTCTTCACCTGAAAGTCGAATCAGGAAAGAAATGCTGCAAATGGTAGCCATTTTATCTGAAACTTGTACAGCAGTTTCAAACATTTTATGCACAATAAAAGGCGTATTGAGAAATGTATGTAGCGAGATTAAGAATCTAAGTAGAAACCTCATTCAATTAGGAAAACTTTCAGAGGGCACAGATGGAATATAAGCATGTGCCACAATTTCAAATAATCAGTCAATCAAAATCAAACAAATTTCAGTCAATCAAAATAAAAAAAATAACCAAGATAATTTTTCCTCCTTGAAAGTACACAGACCAGTTGTAATAAACTGTAGCTCGATTCGAAGAAGCAGCCAAACAGGTAAAACTGCGGTTGTTAATTCATAAATAATTCATAGCTTTTATGAAATCTTTAAAGAGCTAACTATTTTCAACTGTTATAATAGAACGGAGACTTAAAAATTATTTTCCTTTCCTTGCGATTTAAAGTGACATTAAAATAAATTTTTATCAATAAAAAATAACATTAATTAATAATAAAATTTTTAATAAATAAAAACAGACTAAGCTTTTCTAACAAGAAATATGTAGTGCAACAGATTTTTGTAATGTCTAATGTACTACTGTTGAAATGTTTTAAATTTATTCTTGAATTTTTATTTTTCTTGTAAATGAGGAACAGAAGAAATTTCTGATTTCATTTATAATGTACAAATTGCATTAAGCCACAAAACAGCTTATGCAAGACATCGATCATTCACAATAAAAATTCAAAATGTAATTTATGGCCAATAAATTATAAATTGATTGAGAAAACTACTCTTTTCATTCAATCGTTTTAGATTTGATAAATAAAATATATAAAACGATGCTCATTCATTTTAGCGTTTATCTTTAAAATTATTGTGCCCTAGGAAAAAACGATAAACCATATTCGCTTTCTTTTTGAAACCAGTGTTCTGTAAATATTCGAAGCGCACAAGAACGCAAAAATACATAATAATATTGATTATGATGTAGATCTGTAAATGTATATAATGATCTGAGCTAAATAAGCGAGGAGCTAGTATCAAGTAATAAAATAAGACTGTTACATTTTTTTTTTTGAAATAACTGAAATTTCGCAAGTTAATCCACTACGCACAGTTAGATTTTTCAAAACCCATATGATTTCAGCTATAAATAAGATGCCTCCGTTAATTAACCACGCAAAGTAGTTTATATAACACTAAGTTAGAGAACTACAGAGATAAAAAAATATCTCAAGAAAGTACGTAATAACAGAAGCTCTTTAGATATTAAACTGTACATTACCCCAAAAAAAAATCCGAAATCTATTTTTAATATTTTTATACAGATCCCGGGTTCCAAGTATATTAATGTCAGTACATCAGTCAATCATAATTTTGACATAAAACATACAAAACAATAAGTCAATGGTATTAAATCCTTACCTCCGGTGATGGCAATTCCAATAAAAACTATCCACGTTGATCCTACCATGGTGGCAACAGTCCGAAACTAGATCTGAGGATCTCATTCCCCTTTATATGAGGGAAGGTAAGCCATGACGTCACGCTCTACGTCATTGACCTACCTACCTGCCTGACTGCATACTGATCTCTCGGTTTGAATCACTAAGATGTTAGTTTTGACGAAGCGGAAACGCCTTTTGTTAGTCACTTACCGACACTTTAAAATATGCGAGAACTTTCCTTTCAACAGAATCAGATGTAAAGTTTGAATTCAAGAAAACTTTGGATATATCATCACTGAAACGTAAATATCGCAGAGCTGTAAACAGAGTTACATTTGAGTACCTGACAACACGTTTTATCCTTCTGGAAACTTTTCATCTCCAAAAGATGAATCCTTTTCTGCTAAGTTGCAATATTATAAATGAAAAGCTTCGGTAAAAATTAATATTTTTACTTTCATTGATGGAAAAAGATAAAGAAAAGAGTGGAAAGCGCTTAAAACCACAAATTTTACTAGGCAAAATGAATTAATCCTTTTACTGTGAACGTACGGAGAGCTGAAGCTCTTTTGTTGTAACTATATTGCAACTATAAAAAAGGGCTTCTCGTTTTCATATCAATTGTTATCATAAGGGTATTATGCTCAAACACCAACATTTTAATTTATTCTTTCATTTTAAGTATTTCTTTGAGTTAGCGACTTAACTAAGATCAATGGCTGGAGTCTTGGAAAAGACGAAATTTTTTCTCGTATTTCTTTGGTTCCAAGCAACCTAATATAACACAAACATTTTTAGACCTTTTAAATATACGTTTTAGGTATACAAGATATTAATACAGATCCATTTATTTATCACATAATGGAAGGATAAATCATCTTCATTACAAGATAAATTTTCGTAGGGGATTTTGGAAGTGTAATCGGTTCATATTTATAATATACTTAGAGAAAATTAGAGAAAACGAGAGACAATTAGAGAAAATGGGAGACAATTATCAGTTTTAATATTATTATTTGTTCTTTCACTCTGGATTTAGCAGTCATAAACAAATTTTGCAAATCAAATTCTAAGAAATTAGATTATTATATCAACTATAAGGTATTTTTCCCACCTCCTTGGCAAGCCATCGTGGTGTAGTGGTTCTGCACGCTGGGCCGGTATTCCAGAGGTCAGTGGTTCGACTCCCGGAGAAAGCGTTTGCTCATTTTTCAATCTCTCTTGCTTTAAAAAAATAGCTACTGTCTCTACAGTGGCGCCCGAACTAAAAAGGTGTTGGATGATGATTCTCCTCACCCAGGATTTGGCGACTGAGTCCCCTAAAAAGAAAGCAGTCGCCCTTTAAAAGGGGGCGTATATAAAATATTTCTCTCGCCATCCTAGCGTGCCTTCGTGGGGTAGTGATCAGCACATTGAGCCGGTATTCCAGAGGTCCGCGGTTCGATTCCCGGCGAAGGCGTTGTTAATTTTTCATTTTTCCTGCTTCTAAAAATATATTTAATGCCTCTACAGTGGCGCTCGAACTAAAAGGGTGTTCGATGAGGTTTCTCCACATCCAGGATTAGGCGATTGGGTCTTCTGAAAACCACAGTCGCCGTTTAAAAAAGGGAGTATATAAGGTATTTCTCCCACTTTCGTAGCGTGCCTTCGTGGTGCAGTGGTTCTGCACCCTGGGCCGGTATTCCAGGGGTCCGTGGTTCGATTCCCGGCGAAGGCGGTTTCTATTTTTTCATCTCTTCTGCTTCAAAAAAAATCGTAATGTCTCTACACAACGAAGATATTTTTAGTTATTCCTCTAGTTATTGATTTGGATTACAATATAAAAACTTTTCTATTTATCTTCACTTTTTTGTAATAGAATTTTTCATTGATGCTACTGGTCTAGGTCATATGTCAGTTTGGTTTATTTTTCATCCGCAACATACACTTTCTTCTGTCAGTCTGGCTTTACTGATCTTGTTCGTGACCTTAATTTATCAACATATCAGACATTAAAATTAAAGGGCTGAAATCATTTAGGAAAAGTCACAGAAATATGTAATATTTATCTAGCGATAAACTTTTAAAGCGCATTTATTTATATCCAGAAGAGATAGTTGTAAATTCAATACTTGAAATTCTGAGGTAGCAACATAATCCTGAAGAGGCTGTTTAAAAATTTTGCTGAAACAAGCTTAAGAGTAGAATTTTCTTCATATATTTCATAAGAAAAATTAGATCTGCCATCGCTATTTACTTAACTGCATATATGAAAATACGGAACTTTCACAGAATAACCTGCAAAAACGCAGATGACATGTTTATGGAAATCTAGATGCTATATCTCTGCTTCTTTTACAATTTGGATGAATAAAATAATGTTAGGCTTTATATCAGTGCGCTTATAGAGTCAAAAAGAAATTTTATAGCATTACGTTTAAGAATTCTGATTTTAAGGGAAAGATATTAATTGCAAGAATTAAAAAAAATTCTGGAATCCTTAATTCATCTTTCAGAAACCATAGCTCTGACACCTTGTAAGGAGTTACCGCATTCTCCTATTTGTAACTCTGTGTTAAGTAGTTAGGATGTCCAACTGGCAAATGGAAGGTCCTTGGTTCAAATCCTGCCAAGGCAGAGGCAGAGTTATTTTTCGTTTCCTTCTCAAAAAAATATGTAAGTGTCTGTAATGGCGCTCGAAATAATGGTGGACGCTAGGTCTCGTGTTTCTATTCAGCCTCTTATTAAGAGAAGGAGAATAATCGCATAACCCCAGTACGTGTTGTCATGGTGTATAAGATTACCCCATCCCGTTAAAAGTTAGAAGATTTTTGGTTCGAATCTCTGAGGGGCACAGTTGATTTCTCATATTTTCTGCTCCTTACTGATATTAAAACAGAAGTTTTCTCTCAAGAAATGTTTCCCAAATTTAGTAAAGCTAAAATTAAGAAAGGCATATTTGACGGTCCTTATCTCAGGGAAGTGAAGACTGATGCATTTTAAGATGCACTGTAAAAGGCGGAATTTGATGCTTGGATGAACTTTAAAACTCAGTGAACTTTAAAGCAACCGAAAAAGAGAAAATAAAAGAAAAACCGCATAATGTCGGGTTTTAATTTGTTGCTTGAGTTTTATTCCTTGGATTCTTATTTGGATAACTATTAAGAACTTTTAAGATGACGAACACAAATAATTTTCCTTCGAGTTGCATGTAAAATGAAAGTAGGCTTCAAAGGAAAAATCACAAACGTTAAAAAAAAAAAAAAAAAAAAAAAAAAATATATATATATATATATATATATATATATATATATTGTTTCAAAAGAATAAATTGAGTTTAATTAAAAAAATTAAATTTAAATACATATTTAATTAAATATTCTTTGCGCCATTGCTGCAAGGAATGAAATTTAAATTTAAACAAATTTAAATTCTAAACAAATACGTATAAAAGTAAAAAAGTAGAAAAGTAAATTTAAATTCTAAAAAAAGGAAAAAAGCCAAAATAATTTAAAAATATGCAAACATGTAAAAGATTTAATTCTCGAACTAATCTACAATATCATTTAAATTCAGAAGCATAAGCGCCATCTATATAATTTGAAGAACACACTTACTTCTCTTTCACAACACTTTTGCAGACCCCAACACTCATATAGTAGGTAAGTTAGAATTAAAACTTACTATTTACTTGCTTTAAGTATTTTTTTAAAAAAATTTTCCTGTAGTATCTAAATATTTTCTAAATATCAAATTATATTTTTAAATATATATTTATTTTAAAAATTGTGAATTAGTTCTTTTTGTTACTTTTTGTTTCTTATTGGTTTATATGGATTATGTATAGTTCTTCTATAGTTTCTTTTTATTGATATGCATATTCGTGTAGGGGAAGTTTCTGTAGACAAGGATTTCTAAAATACATTGGTTTCTAAATTTTTTTATTATTTTATAAAAATTAATTTTTAAAAAATTTTATTTTTTAAGAAAAAGTTTAATTCTTGACTTTACTTGCTTGTTTCTCAAAAAACTTAATTAATATTTTCCTTTTTGAACTTTAATTCTTAAATGTTAATACTTAAATGTTAATTTCTAAGGGTACCACTTTATTGGAATTACTTTTGGTTTTGACTTTTACCCTTGCCTGCATGAATGACGAAACACGAATTGAATGATTGGAGAGTTAGGTTTGGAGGCAACTTCCCCTTGATAAGTCTGTCTCCTGCCTACTCTACGATCATTCACATATGCATTTTTTTAAAAAAAATTGTTTAATTTAATTTTAATTTATTAAATTAATAGATTTATTTTTATGGATAGAATTTACACTTGATTTGCTTATGCTTCTGAATTTAAATGATATTGTAGATTAGTTCGAGAATTAAATCTTTTACATGTTTGCATATTTTTAAATTATTTTAAATTATTTTGGCTTTTTTCCTTTTTTTAGAATTTAAATTTGCTTCTCTACTTTTTTACTTTTATACGTATTTGTTTAGAATTTAAATTTGTTTAAATATATATATATATATGTATATTAGCCGACTACTACTGAATTCTAAGTGCAGATATGTGTCAGAGTTCAAAACGTCGAAGAAATTCGACAAGACCTTACTTCTAGTGCAGTTTTCACAGATTCTAATGCATAAACATGCAAAAATCGGACTTTTCTGTCAAACACTAATTTGAATACTGATTTAATGCTCGATAGGAAAATTTGGTGTTGAGTTCGATGTCGATATATCAACAGGCTGTAAAAATAAAAACATGCTGTATGTTCGGCAGCTAAAATTTATGAAGTGGAAAATGTGTTAAATTATGCTTGCTTACTGTGACGTATGTTTCTAGTGTCATGTATTATGACAAAATCTTATGAATTATTGGCTACAGAATGTAATTATATATGGTATAATTTTGTGATACAGTGTGATTACTGATTAAAGCATTTTATTGAAAATAATGCAGAGTTATGATTGAAAGCTTCCTTGCCAATTCCGCTACAAGAAGTAATCGTTCGTTTCACGCAACAAAGAATCAGTAACGAAACGTTAAACCTTTTTAAGTTTTCAGACGATTTGAACACAATGTTGCTACTTTCTTATAATTAATTATCAGGTCAAAAGAAATCTAAAATTTG